TGTGTGTGTGTGTGTGTGTGTGTGTGTGTGTGTGTGTGTGTGTGTGTGTGTAAAATACCCTGCTGCTCTTGAATTCCAGCTCTATTACTCCTTACTAAACTATAGGGGGAATTTTCAGTGGCATATTACTGTATTGACATAAAAATAGCATATACTTGTATTTATTATATAATAGAAAATTTTTTAAAACTTTAAATCCACGATGGAAAGAGGTAACGCATCAGTATATGTGAAGGTAATACTTTAACAGATAATGCTTGTTTCCTATGAATGTATTCTAAGTTGGAGGAATGTAGGATTATTTGCATGACATATACCACACAGTTCATGTAGCATGTTGCATCTAAGGAAATAGTTTGCCTACGTAGTAGAATTAGAAACAGTGGGTTTAGGGGTAGTGTTGTGGTATTCCTGCCTAAATGACTAAGCAAAGAGAGCTCCATAATATGGAGACCAAAATATGTGTCATTCAACCTGAGAATATTGCGATATTCCTTAGTCAAATATGCTTGCCTATATTAGCATTCCTACATGTATGTAGCGCTTTAAAAATGAAAAGAGGTTCAATAGGAAGGGAGGAGGATATCTAAAATATACTGTCAGAACCAATACCAGAAGGGATTGAAGGAAGAGACCACTGGCCATGACACAAAATTATTAAAACTGGGTTTAAAGGGTTATAAATACATTTTTATAAAGTCTTCCTTGAACTTCACTAGCCTTTATAGTAAGGTTTCTGATAATGTCTTACACACATCCATGTATCTCTAGTGCTAGGGTAAATGTTTGCTGAACATTTCAGTCACTGAATTCTTTCTTTGTATCATTACCATGAAACATATTATTTATGATCATTAAATCATGGAGTAATTAACATTGATTATAGTACTATCTTAGAATCCTAATCCATCTTTACTGCTGTGTAATTTTAGCTTTCAATAAGAGTTTTAGTTAAATAATTTTTTTAGATAATTTAATGGTTTTTAGTAAATTTATAGAGTTGTGCAACCATCACCACAGTTTGGTTTTTAGAACATTTCCATCCCTTGTACTCGTTGCTAATCTCTGCTCCAACTGCCAGCTATAAACAATCACTGTTCTGCTTTCTGTCTCTATAATTTGCCTTTTTGGATATTTCACATGAATTGAATCACACAACATGTAGTCTTTTGCAACTGTTTTTTTCCACTTAACATGATGTATTTGAGTTGCATCCATGTTGAAACAAGTTTCCACGGTTTGTTCCTTTAATTGGTGGATAATACTCCATTGGGTAGATACATCACATTTTGGTTCTCCACCTGATGGGCAAGTGGACTGTTTCTAGCTTTTCACCTTTATAAACAGGGCTTCTAGGAACATTCAGATATGGGTCTTTCTGTGGACATGTTTTCATTTCTCTTAGGTAGATTCCTAGGAATGGAATGACTAGGTCATATAGTAAGTTGTGGGGTTTTTTTGTTTTTTAAGAAACTGCTAAACTCTTCCAAAGTAGCTATAGCATTTTACAGTCTCACCAGCAATGTGTAAGGATTCCAGTCTTCACATCCTGACTCACATGTATTGCCATTCTAGTGGTATCTCATGATGATTTTAATTTTCATTTTTCTAATGACTATTGGTGTTGAACATGTTTTCATGTGCTTATTGTACTTTGTAGATCTCTTTGATGAAGTGTCAATTTAAATCCTTGTTTTTTCATGGATCGTTTCCTTATTTACTCAGTTGTGAGTGCTATTTATATATTCTGGATACACGTTCTTTATCAGATATACAATTTGCAGATATTTTCTCCTAGTCTGTGACTTGCCTTCATTTTCTTTCTCTCTTTTTCTTTTTTTCCCCAGACAGGGTCTCGCTTTGTCTGTCACCCAGGCTAAAGTGCAATGGCATGATCTTGGCTAACTGCAAGCTCCACTTCCTGGGTTCAAGTTATTCTCATGCCTCAGCCTCCTGAGTAGCTGGGATTACAGGTCCCTGTCACCATGCCTGGCTAATTTTTCTATTTTAATAGAGATGGGGTTTCACTGTGTTGGCCAGACTGGTCTTGAACTCCTGACCTCAGGTGATCCACCCACCTAGCCTCCCAAAGTGCTAGGATTACAGGCATGAGCCACTGTGCCCAGCCTTGTCTTTATTTTCTTTCGAAAGGTAAAAGCATTTAATTTTGGTGAATTCCTGTGTATCAAGTTTTTTTTTTTTTTAATGGATTGTGTTCAGTTAAATAATTAACTTTTTTTCTTATAGATAATACATTTACATGTTTTAAAAATCAAAGCATATATAAAGGAATTTAGTAAAAATTCTCTTTTCTAACTCCTGTTCACCAAACTCTAACCTAAGTTCCCCTTTCTAGAGATAACCAGTGTTGCCATTTTCCTGTATATCTTTAGAGATAGTTAAATAAATTTTGTTTTTGAACTCAGGGTACAGAAATTTTGACTAAATAACTCATAACTTCTGGGAAATTCCCAGAAATTCAAGAATGAGCTTACTTTTTTTTAGTTCATTTTCTCTGTGTTATAAGGGTGGTTTTTAAAATTCTATTTAATATCTATATTTCTATGTTTTTGAGGATTTGGGAATATAGATTAGTTATTTTCATTTGAAATGTAATTCAGAGGATAATAATTTTTATTGCTGATAGAGATAAACCCCATAAACTTCTTACCTGTCCATGGCAGCATTGGCTTTCAGTTGCTCATTTCTCTGAATTGTGTTTTTTCCCCCCTTTTTGAGTACTTTGTATTCGTACTTTAAAGAACGTTGAAAAACTAGATGCTGTATTAGTCTGTGTTGCTATAAAAAAATACCTGAGGCTGGGTAATCTATAGAGCAAAAAGGTTTATTTAACACACGGTTCTGCTGCCTGGAGATTGGGCATCTCATGAAACCTTCAGGCTGCTACTACTCATGATGGAAGTTGAAGGGAAGTTGGTGTGCACAGTGGCCACATGGTAAGAGAGGAAGCCAGAGAGAGCAGGGTGCTGCCAGACTTTGTAATAACCAGCTCTTGTGGGCACGAAGACAGTGAGAACTCACTCACTCCTCCACACATTAATGTGTGGGCATTAATCTATTCATGAGGGATCCACCCCCCTGAGCCAGATACCTCCCATTAGGCCCCATTTCCAACTTTGGGGATAAAATGTTAACGTGAGGTTTGGCGGAGACAAGCAACCAAACTATAACAAATGCTTTTATCAATTAGGAGTAAATAAAATTTAAGCCAGAGCTTAATATTCAAATAACTGCCTTTTTAAAAACAAAGGCAGGGTCTCGCTATGTTGTCCAGGCTGGTCTTATATTTCTCACTCAAGTGATCCTCTCACTTTAGCTTCACAAAGTACTGGGATTATAGGCATGTGGCACCCAGCCTAACATGACTACCTTATTGCACTTTTCCTAGATGTTCTTTTGACAATCTACTTTTTAAAATGTGTCATTTTAAATTTACTTGTGTATAACACCCTGGACTATAGAGTGAGGACATCACAATGAAACCCAAAACCTTGGAAGGAACATGTTCTGTAATAATTTTTCCCCTAACAG